CAAACCCAAGGAATCCAGAGGAACTGCAGAAGCCCCATTCCAGCTGCTGTCTAACACTTGGGAATGCTCTGAAATGATCCCCCACCCATGGTAAATGACAGGACAGACTGCAGCTGAGTTCAGGAAACTACATTTTCATGTAAACTATTTCTCTAGCCTGAGAACAACAGATATGATTCCTGTTCAATGATCACCCATTGCTCCACATTCCACCCTCAGTTTAATCAAACTTCTACCTTTTTTGTGTCCAGAATCAAAGCTGCCTTACAAAAACAATTAACTTGGCTCACATGAAAGATATTACTGACTAAAAAACCCCAAGACCTGCAAAGTTAATACAATGTTTTTAAAAAGCACATGGGCCTCATTTGTGTGCACTGGTTCACAAGAACAGACAAGACAAACTTCTCCCACTATGTGCATAAAGCTACTTTTAACTTTTGCCACCTTACATCACTCACTAACTGCAAACCTCAAACATATCTGAATGCCTGCCTGCAGGTACAGCAATAAAAAAATCCTGGGATATCAGGAATTTACTATTAATAAGAATGATAACTGCTATATCATGTTCTCAACCTGGAATGAAGTAAACTTGACAGATATCAAGTTTACAGGAACTGCCCCCCAACAGAACTGCAGTTTAAATATCAGGTTAGGAGGAGGTCTGAGAAGTTTGGTTCCATGTCCCATTTCCTCAGATAATGGGGTTGTTCCTGTCAACCTGATCAGTGCCACAGTCTGCATTCTGTAAGGATGCACCAGAACAGTTCTAGCAAGGTGTTCTTCACTGAGAAACCAGCACAGGTCAGTTCTACCTGGAGTTCCTTAGAGCACAATGCACACCCACCCTGCAGAGGAATGAGCTCTCCACCACTACCCTCACACAACACAGAGCTTAAGTACTGTGGCACAAGGCAAAGCAAACATAACACTTAAGACAGGTGTAAATTCATTGCTCACAATGATTTATAGGTGAGCAGAGCACAACACAATAATCCTCCAGTTGTCACAGGCCACCCTTGGCAAAGTGCAAACAGACCTGTGCCCAACACACACATTTTACAGATATGCATTTTCAGGAACTACCAAGTGATGAGTTTGGTGCATCCACCAGGAGACACAAGGCAGATATGCAACTTGGTCTAGTGGGAGGTGTCCCTGCCAACAGCAGGGGGCTGGAAATACAGGATCTTTAAGGTCCCTTCCAACCCAAAATGTTCTGGGATATTTTTCAGAACAGGCATTTCAGAGTGGCTCAAACACAAGATGACAACCCAAGACCCCCCCCCATTAGCATGAAGTTAGAACAGGGAATTCCTAAAATATGCCATCTCTCAGTGAGATCCAGTTAATCCACAGATTCTTAAAATCCTATTTGGACTCCAGAACTTCTAAAGACGTTAACCTAGATCAATATTGACTATTGCCAAAGCTCTTCACTTACGCAGCTGCAAATATTGCTAAAGATATACAGTGACAGGTGCCCTTTGGTCCTTCGTGCTGTCTCGAGGCTGTGTCACAGTTGTCACAGCATTAGTGCACTCCAGGCCACAAAAATTCCTTCAAAAAGGGGGCCACCCAATAATCCCCTCTGCAGAAACCTTCCATTAATCAAGACAGAAAGTAGAAATGTATTAGAAGACTCCAAAATCTCCCAGGGCAAGCAAAAGACCAGAGCAAAAGGCTCTGGGTCTCTGCTTTACAACTTAAAGGTCACATTTTATTTCAAGCTGTAGCACTCTCAACATTACTTGAAATGTGTCTATTGGTTTAATTCCTTCTGTGGATCTACTGTAACAGCAAGACCAGAAATATTTTTTGGGAACTGCCACAGGCCAGTGTCATTATAAGGCAACTCTTGCCACTTATTCTCAAGTATAAGACAGCAATTCATTTAAAACACCTACAGCAATTGCCAATGAAAACATTTGGTATTTCCCTAATACCTTCCTTTATTATACAGCCCTTAGCAGCTTTTATTTTTAAACTACTTCATGAACTTTCCCCACAATAAAAGCTTGAAATTTGCTGACCATTCCTGTTTTGAATAAGGGATACTGGGAAGGTATTGCTCCAACCTGATCTTCTGTATGAGTCAGGCTCTGACAGGAGATTCTCTGTGCTCCTCCCTCTGCATGCTGGCAATCTTTACATTTCTGTTCCTGTGGTTCTGCCAATACCAGATTGGGTTTAAAAGCAAGACTTTGAAATACTAACAGCTTATTAGAAAAAAAAAAAACACCTCACCCTCAAATACCAGAAAGTCAGCTCAGGGAGGAATAAACTAATTTATTCTAATTATTCTCTACACTTAAAATTAATCCCACCACCATTAAGTGCTTTCTAAAGTTCAGTCCACTGTGGGAGTCAGGACTCAAAATATGAAGACTGTTACATTCCAAGTTCCATCAGCAAATCCAGCTTAAATAAAAGTCACACAACTGAATGAACACTCTAGAAGCCAGTAAAAGCCACAAAGTATAAGTCTGTCACGCATTTAACTCTGTAGAGTTAACTCTGCTAATCAGCTAATCAAATAATTTCTGACTGCCAGTGTAACAGCTTAATGAGGAAAGAAACACATGAAGGTTAAATCTGCAGTACACGTGGAAAAGCTGGAACACAAGATTCAAAACTCCACTACCCCAGTAAAAATCTAAATTGTAGTTAAAACTCCCTCATAGAAATCAAGTTTCACAGAAACCTTGGTGATGTGGGGACAAGGAACACTCGATTGAGAGAGAGTGACTGAGGGATGGGGAGCTGTGGCAACACAGAAAATAAGTTACATTTCTTCCAATGTTACTCTTATTTCAAAGTTTAATCACTTGCCCTCCTGCCTTACTTTTAAAGCAACAACACTCCTGTGTGTCCTGCACAGCCTGGAAAGCACATTCTTCTCCAAATATGGTTTGACTGAACAGAACTTGCACGTTCCTTTTCCACAAACTCCTTTTACCACCTGCTCTAATCACCACGAGATATCCTGACATTTGCAATAGGAGAACTCTAAGCATGTTCTCCTAGCAACTGCTGGTGAGATTTTTAGTTGATTTTATCCCTGACTCTTCATATTACTACAAAGAATTCCTACAGTAAAGTATTTCTAGGCCTTGCCATGGCACACTCAGCGTGTCAGCTGCTGCATTACTAATGAACATTTTAATTACCAAGCATGATTCCATAATTAGAAATAATTCCAATTATATCTTTAAGTGTTTTCCTTCTCCCAAGCATTTAGTAAACACACATCAAAACTATTGCATCAAATTGCCTGTCTCAGTAGCAGCATTTGCAGCAACAATAAAAAGCTGTTGGAGAACCAACTCTGTACAAGAACAGGCTGCTATGGAGGTGATTTATGATGATTAAATCCCTGTTATTCTCTTTTTGCTCCTGGTGGTGAAAGTTATTTTACTGATGAGACTCACATGGTTTAATCTCAGCAGCCTATGCATAACTTCAATTTATACAGTTTTATGCTATCTGGCAAGTTTGTAGAAGTCTTCTCCCTAGTTAGAGCAAAACTTGTCACTTCAGGACACTTCCCAAACAAAGACATGAACAAGCACCTCCACAAACTAAAGATCACCTGAGGACAGACAGAAAAGCAGAGTTGAAGCCCTCACTCAATCACAAGAGTCCCCTCTCAGACATCCAGAGATACAGATCTCTGTAACACAATCCTACTGCTGTCACCACAGAAGAGGTTTTTCAGAATATGAGATCCCTGTGTGTTTTACCTCAACAATTTAACAGCTCCCACCCTGATAGGAGTATGGGCATGTTCTGCACAACTGGCTTTTTATGATGGCACAACAAGTACCTTGATAAAAACTGGGACAGCTTTTACACAGGTGACACTGAGAGGGGAAAAAAATAAATCTCAAGTGCTCATTCAGCTGAAGGCACTCACATGGTAGTAACAAAATTCTCATTAAAAGAAAAGGAGGAAGCATTTAATACATTTAATACATAATAGGGTTTTGCTCAGTAACCAAAACCCTCCCTTCCCACTTCCTTACAGTGGATGTCCTTATGTGCCTGTATATCTACACATACACACAGACATATATTCTAAGCTCTGAGCAATTCTGAGACTGATGGATAAATCCTCTTATTTCTTTAGCTGAGATATCTGACAATATGCTTTTAAGAGAGTGTTTTGGCCAAATTACACCTAGAACCCTAAAATCGTGAAGGCTGGAAAAGACACCAAAGATCTAATCCACCTGAAACTATTCCCTGTGCCATGTTTGTACTGGAATCACTTGTAACTGCACAGCAGGGCAAGTCTTTTCATTTTTGTAACTCAACCAACTACTTACATGACATGCCAAGTTAATAGAATATTACAGACTGACTCTCCTAACAGAAATAAGAGCCATTGACCTCTAGGAAACAACTGCTAAGCTGACTGGACACCTGCAAAACAACTCAAGGTTGGGGCTCAGCTTTTGCTGCAGAGGGACCCAAGTCTCTCTTGAATGAAGCACTTCCTCTGTACCACAAAACCGTCTCCTGCGCTCCCAGGTGACATTTCAATGAAAACGCAATACAAGATACCGCAATTAAAACCACCCAAAGCAAAGCACCTGCAATCGCCCTTGTTTACATTGGCCTCAACCACCACTCACAGCCGCACCACTCCGCTCTAACGAGCGTTTACCACTAAAACGCCCGTCGCTCCACCTAATTGCCACTGATTTCAACACGGGAATTGCGGGTGCCTCACCCTCTGGCCCGTGGTGATCCCGAAAAACGCCGGTGATCCCGAAAAAAGCCGCTCCCTCACCGGCCCTCCAGCGCTGGGGCTGCCCCGGCCGGGAGCGCTGACCCCCCTCCCCCTGCCCCGTGCCCCCACCACAGGCTCCTCCGCGCCCGCACCCGCTCAGGGAACCTCCCCGCACCCCCAGCGCCCCCCGAGGGCAGCGCTCCCTTGGCCGCCCCGCCGGCGAGAACGGGGCGAGGGGTGGCCGGTCCCACCCCCGCCTCACCTGGAGGTGATGGCGGCGGAGCAGCGCACCCGCTCGCTGAGGTCGCACAGGGCCTGGTAGTGGCTGTCGCGGCCCTTCTCGCGCTCCAGGTGGCAGGCGTAGAGGGACAGCAGGATGCCGGCGGCGCACACGGCGGACCGCGCCACCCGCTCCCAGCGCGGCACCGACACCCGCAGCAGGACGGGCGCCGCCATCTTTGCCCCGTCCCTCCGCCTCAGACCGCGACGCGCGCCCGGCGCCCGCGCCCCCCGCGCAAGCGCGCGCGCCCCTCATTGGCCCGCCGCGCGCTCGCGCGGGCCCTTCATTGGCCCGCCCGCGCCCCCCGGCCACGCCCCCCCACCCCCCGCCGCTCGCGCCGGACGTGGCGCCTCGCGACGACGTCACGTCAGGCCGGGCGGGGGTGGGGGGTGCCGGGGGTGTGCGGCGCCCCCTGGCGGCCATGGTGGGGGGGGGGGGGGGGCGAGGGGGCTTGCGTCCCCCCCCCCCCCCCCTCTCAGATTTCTGCAGGAAAATGAGCTTTTCCCCCTTTTTTTTTTCCCTCAGATCTGAGCGGTCAGGGGAAACTTGGCAGCTCTGAGGAATGCTACGAAAGTCGACACGGCAGGTATGACCCTCGGGGATAATGCGTTGCTTCACTATAACATGGGTCTCAGGCAGGTTCTCCAGTGAAGCTCCAGGTGTTTTCCATGGTTTTGGACAGAATGAGCCTGCAGACACACAGAGCCCATCTGGTGTGCAGAGAGATCTCCCTGAGGGCCTGTTAACATTCCCAAGGATTTTCTGAGGTGTGTAATTTGGACAAGCACTATAAAAAGCACATTAAAAGTTTGTTTGTCCTAGCACACACCATAGGCTGGTGCTCCACCTGGCTCCAGAACAGCTGCTGATGGATTCCCCCAAGCCTCGCTTGGCCTTGGAAGAATAAATATACCTCGCACTTGAGCAATGGGATTTCATCGCCTGTTTCCGAGGTCTGGGACCAGATTCCATCACTCTTCACAGCCAGAACTGTGAATCCACAGCACTGGTCACAATCAGACTGACACAACCCAAGGCAGTCAAGGCTGGATCTTCTTTCTTCCACATGCCTCTGGTTTCTATCAAAAGCAGCATCAACAGCTGGCTGTAGCTGAAGAACCAGCCAATGTCTCTGGTCTACTCGCACAAAAATCATGGCAGCTGAAAATAAACAATCTTTGCTCACTGTAAACACCACCAAAAACACTGGTACTGCTGTGTTTGGGAATGGACACCAGCTACTCCTTCTCCTGCCCTTCCCCAGTTCCTTGCAGCCCGTTATTGTGGGCATTAGGAGATGGTGGGAGTGAGTCAGTACAAAAGGAAGCTCTGGAGTTTTCCCAAGGAAGGCAGGAGAACAAAGCACAAAGGCAGCATTCATCCCATCCTGCCCTCATTGTTCCGCAGAACAAAACCAATTCAAAGAGGGACGCGCTGCAAAATGACTTCAAGCACCAAGAATCCCTCTGCCAGCAAAAGAAAGGGAGTTGAAAACCATTAATTAAAAAGAGTGGAGAAAACCACTCATTAAGAAATGAGTTGTTTGAACACTGGAAAAAGTATAAACGAAATTATAAATCTCCCGCTCTCTGTGCCATGATTTGCTGTCAATGGGAACAAGGGGAGAGGGACAATGGGAAAGGAGCGGAGATGACATACACAGGAGAACATGAAATGTTATTTATATTTATCTCCTAATCATTTTTATATTAACAACTGCTTTTCTTAACTGTGCTTCTGGATTACCACTATATAAACTCACAATTTAATGCTTCCTTCATCAGACAAGAGTTACATCCCCTGACATACAAGATGTTGAAATAACTTGCCTTACACAGCTCTCTCCTTTACAACTGAAGAAACTATGAACAAGCAATTTTTTGTCATGAATTATCATGACTGGTGATAATCTATATGTGATATAGATGTATCTTTTGTATACATGCATATGCACATATATACATGTACATACATATACACATATATACATACACATATATGCATATTTATATAAATATATGCATATATATACATGTATACATACATATTTTTGTATATACATATATATATATAAATACACACACACACACATATAATTAATGAGATCCCCTCAGTCTTCTCTGGGCTAAAATCCAACACCTTCAATTCTTCTGAAGGGCTTTTGGGGAGGTTCCTTCTCCACAGAGAACGACTCCCTGAGGGCTGAAACACGTTTAACCGTAGCTTAGGTATTTATTGCGACTGTGGGTCCCGCCGGCGCGGGTTTAAACCGCAGTCCATGTGTTCATTTTGAACCGAGCGCCCCGCAGGCGCGGGTTTATCGCCGTTTATGCGTTTATTTTGCCCTGAGGGTCCCGCAGGTGCGGGTTTATCGCCCTTTACGTGTTTATTTTCACCGCAGACACCGCCGCCATCGCGGCCCCTCGCGGCTGTTCCCGCGCGTCCCCTCAGGCGGGCGGAGGGGGCGTGGCCTCTGCAGGGCCCCGCCCTCCCGCGCGGACGCGGAAGTGACGCGCACGCGGTGACCTTCAGAGGAGGCGGGCGGGTGTTGGGACAGGCCGCGCTTTCTCTTTCTTCCCGGTTCCCTCCGCTCCGGCTCCTGCTCTGCTCCCCGCCACCATGCCCAGGGGCAGCCGCAGCCGCACGTCCCGGGTGCCGCCCCCCGCCAGGTGAGGGCCACCTGGGCCGCCTCCTCCTCTCTCCGTCCCCTCTCCTTCCTGGGGGCCCCGCGCAGGCCGCAGCGGCCTGTCCGCCATTGCACTGCGGCCGCTGCGGCCCGGCGGGTTGGAGCTGCGGTGGCTCTGGGGCAGCGGGATTGGGTGCTTGTTGGGGGGGTGGAAGTGGGTCTGCTCGGCCACAAGGCCTGGCCAATCCCGCGTCTGGACTTTAAGGCCTTATTAACCCTTAAGGGTTAATCAACCTCATTTGGGTCATATCTCATTTTTTTGCGCAAGATTTTGCAGTCCTTTGTGGGGTGGGGGGACGGCGAGGCTTTAAAACAGCCAGAAAGAAGCCTGTAAATGTGACCCTGTCTTGCGTAAGTCGCTCACCAGAACACCGAGTTCCTGCCCTCGGGGTGTAACTCTGTGACTCTTCCGGAGGGACAGTGACCTCCTGGCCCTGCAGCCACGTGGGCTCTGCCCGGAGCGGTTTGGAGTGATGATGATGATGATGATGATGATGGTAATGATGTGAGGCTTCTCTCTCTCTCGTCGCAGCCGGGCCCCGCCGATGAGAGCCGCGTCCCCAGCGCCGGCTCCTCGGGCCCAGGTCCCGGCCGCGGCTCCGCCTTCTGCCGTGGCGGCTCCGGCGCCGAGGCAGCCAGGGCTGATGGCCCAGATGGCCTCGACCGCCGCCGGGGTCGCCGTGGGCTCGGCCGTGGGACACACCATCGGCCACGCCATCACCGGAGGGTTCAGTGGAGGGAGTGGCCACGAGGCTGCTCGGCCTGATATCACTTACCAGGTGAGGGAAAGCACAGCAGGACACTACTAGTGCCTTGACAGATCAGCCTGCGGGCTGAGGTAGTTGCTAGTGACATAAAACACCTCACAAGTCACAGCTAGGATTTATAATTATAATCTCTCTGTATATAGACTATATAAAAAATCATATATAGTCTGTGGCTAAATTGAATCTCCAAGATAACCACCACTCTCACCACGAGTATCTTAGAAGTAGCTCAGAAGGATGCACGAGTGATGTGTGCTTGTGGCAGGGTGTTGTTTTCTACTGGAGTGTTCCCCTTATTCAGGCAGGACTTCCATGTTCCAGGTCTGATGATGGTAAGATCTATTGCAAGACCTTTCTGTGCTGCTCAGACATTTTTTTGCCCAGATGCCATTCAGAGTTACCTGAGCATATCCAAAATCACCCAATGTGTTTCTCACTTAAAAAACTACTCTGAATGTGTCATGCCACTGCTGGAAACTTACTTTGTACTTCAGCCCATTATATTTTTTTCCATTTAAAAAGCAACATCTTCACTAAAACACAGGGAAGAAACCTCAGCCAGCAGCACGGGGGTGGTTTGGCTTTGAGCTGGAGCTGTTGGAAGGGCCCTTACAGGGTTGTGTGCTGTTTCAGGAGCCTCAGGCTGCCCAGCAGCAGCAGCAGGCTGGTCCTTGCCAGTACGAGATCAAACAATTCCTGGAGTGTGCACAGAACCAGACTGACCTCAAGCTGTGTGAGGGCTTCAGCGAGGTGCTGAAGCAGTGCAAGTTTGCTAATGGTAAGTAGGCAGTGCTGACAGTAAACTACTAAATGGGCTAATCAGTAGAATTATTGTGGGAATGATGTCCTGGGGTTTTGATCTGTCTGGTAAGGAATGGGGAGTGATGGCAGGTGCACCAAAGTCAGGTAAAGCAGCTGCTGTTCTGTTCCTGCTTTGGTCCTGTACATGTAGCTGGAGGTGATGGGGTGGAGAGGGGGTGAATTCCTGAAGTTTTGTGCTGGTGCATGGATTTAAGCTGACTGGGAAAGTGGCAGCAGCACACTTGGAGAATCAGCAGGGCACTGTGAGCCTGTAGGAAGGACAACAGCCAAACCATCCTGACCTGGGAGGGTGGGGATCCTGCACACCAGGGTGCTCTGCTGGTGTCTGCACTTCAGCATGTCCCAGCAAATGGATGAGGGGAAGGGGGAACATCCTAGCAAATCTGCTTTATGGCAAGGAAAACCAGCTGCCATTCAGGGATCCAAAACTTACTGACATAACTCCTTACCTTGCAGGTTTGGCCTAAGCCTGCAGGACAAGGCTGCTGAAGACCATCTTTCAAGAACTGACCTATGAATGAAAAAAAAAAAAAGCTTCAATAATAAAGTTTAAAGCTGTCTGATATCTTGTTAGTTCATATATTCACACTCATCCTGCCATAGCTGCCTCTGATGTGATACAACTTAACAAACAGCCGCAGATTAATTTAGCACAAAATGGAAGAAGGATCAATAAAGCAGAATGAGCTAATGTGAGTTCACTGGTTTGCTGCTCGTGTTGGATATATGTGATATGGTGTATGAATAAACTTCTCTCTCCAGAAGTACCATCATCTGTGCCTGTTGAGTTTGAGTGTTGGAGTTGAACTGGAAGGGTGACGAGGTGAGAACTGATTTTGGCAACTGTGCTGCCAGCAAGGGTGCCTGGAGGGCTGGAGCTGCAGGAGTTCAGGAATGCTGGTAGCTCAGTGGTTACCTCTGCCTGCCAGGTATCTCCTCCTTGAGCATTTGCACCCCACAGGCTGATGGAAATGGGTAGTGACAGGGGAGGCTGTGGCTGACTCTATGCTATTCTGCCCAGTGGGTGTCAGTCCTCCCACAACCTCTTATATACCTTAAAAACAAGCTCTCTGTTCAGATTCAAGGGATTCTGAGCATCACATTCCAGTTCCCAGTGACACAGAAGCTGTAGGTGTTTCCTTCATCCTGTGACAGGAGCTGAGGGCTGAAAGATTAGAGGATGGTCCTGTGGCCTTTCCCTCCTGCCTGGCTCAGGCAAGTGGCAAAGCCACTGCTGCTGCGTGAACCAAGAATAATAATCATCACTATTTTAAGAGTATATTTACTGGTACAAAGTGCAAACCCTCCTCTTTCCATCGGAGGGAGCAGCCAGCTCATGCCTTGCTCAAATCCTTGGAGCTTGCAGAGTAAACACCTTGCTGCACTTCTCTGGTAAACCCTGGATAGGGTGTTCTCCTACATGGGAGTGCGGCGGGGAATAACCCTGCTCTGAAAAGTGCAATTCCTGATAAAAATACCTTTTATGGCATGACCTGTTTTTCGTGAACTGCTTTTATGCTGCTGGATATTCTGCCTGTTCCTAAAGCCCTTCGCTTCTCATCTGCAGTTCCTGGAAGTGAAAGGATTAAATCAGTGTTCAAAATCATAGAATACTGAGTTGGAAGGAACCCATCAGGATCATCAAGTCCAACTCCTGGGGGAAGGGTCACCTCACACATGAGGAATGAGGGCTGGTGACACTGACACGAGTAGCTTTGCCTCTGCTGATGAAGCTCACAGCTGCAACAGAAATAAAACCAATTTGGGCCAAACTGTGAGAGAAAATGGCCTTAAGAGGAGACAGGAAATTCAGATTAGATACTATAAAAACTTTTTTCATTGTTGGGGTGGTCAGGTCACCTTGGAACAGGTTGCCCAGGGAGGTGGTGGAGTTGCCACACCTGGAGGTGTTCAAGACGAGCTGCGTGATGTGGTTTAGGGGTTACTGGGTGCACGGCTGGACCGGATGACTTCAAAGCTCCCTTCCCACCTCGACAATTCCACGGCTCCACGCTCCCACCCCCCGCCCGCCCTTTCCATCCCCGCAGCGCTGCCCCCGGGCGGGCCTGGCGAAGCACCGGGGGAATCCCGGATGCCGCAGCCGCCTGCACGGCAACACCCCCGCGGGAGGAGCGAGCGGCGCGGGGGCCCCGCGGGGCTCAGCCGCCCAAGGGTTAATTAAGCCCGGGCGGCGCGGCGGGGAAGTCCCGCAGCTCCGGGGCGGCCCCCGGGCCCCCCCCTCGCCCCTTGCCCGGCCATGCCCGCCCGGCGCCCGCCGCTGCCAACTCGCGCTGCGCTTTATCCGCGGCCGGGCGGCGGCGGGCGGCCCTGAGCGCTCGGATCCCGGCCCTGAGCGCTCGGATCCCGGCCCTGACCGCCCGGCTCCTGGCCCCGAGCGCCCGGCTCCCGGCGGCGGCTCCTGGCGCCAGGCCTGGGCCCAGCCCGGGCCGCCCTCAGCGAGGTGAGGCCCCGCCGGGGCGGGGGGGACCGGCCGCGTTCGGGGCGGGCGAAAAAGGGGCTGGTGGTGGTGGTGGTGGTGGTGTGTGTGGGGCGGGGGGAGAGGTGTCGCTGCCCCGCAAAACTCCTGGTTTTTCAGCGTTTTTATTTGTCTCCGGGTGCGGCGGCGGGAGGGTCGCGGTAGAAACACCCCCCCCCGTCTCCCTGGGAGGGGGGTCGGCGGCGCTGCTGGAGCCGGTTTTCGGCTGGGGGCGAGAAGGGGGAGCTCCAGTGCTAAAAACCGGCCTAAAAGCTGAGTTTAGCTTGAGCTTTCCAGGTTTATCCCGGTCGGTATTTGCACGTTATTGGATATGGATGAAGGCGAACTTTGGACCCCCTCCCCGGTGGCAGCTGCGGGCGGGGGGCGATGCCCGGCGCGTGTCCCCCAGACAGAAAATTCCCCCCTTTGCCCCTTCCCTGCAGTCCCAGCGTATCCCGTTAGTGCCATGGACCGGCTGCTTATATAATTCCAGGGAGTTATGCACAAACTCCGGGCTCTCTCGTCCCAGGAGAAGGCGGCACATGGATCCCACACTTCTCCCGGCAGTGCTCCACGGATGCACCCCCCCAACCTCCAGCCCTTCCCCACAACACCAACCCCTCCAGGATGTGGATTTTTCACTTCAAAAAGAATCAAAGTTGTTGGTTCTCCTCCACCTCAGAGATATTTTATTTTCCCTACTTCCTGATCCCGCCTCTCGTTTGTAATTCCAGCTCAGGCTTGCTTTGGCATTGCTTGTAATATTTCCAACGGCTAAAATTTTATAAATGAAGTCAAACTTACGGCTGTTTAGAACAGCCCGTGTTAGACACCCAGCAGCCAGACACCCAAACCACCCCATCGGTCTTTACAACCAGGTCGGGACAGATACACACTGATAATGGGATTTAAATGTACTTAGAGATGCCAGTGCCCTGGAGAGGGGAGGTGAGGAAAAGCCTGCAGTACTGGGGATCTCCTGCCTGCCTCTTTCCCCTGCCCAGCAACAAACTGTCACCCCAAAGCGACAGTTTTACTGCCCAAGCTTGTAAGAGCTGCTTTCCATCCTACTTGCTTGGACTCCGTGTATGGGCACAGAAAGAAGCTGAAAACATCCATTTCCCAGAGCTTAAAGGGAAAAGCCAGTAAAAATTAAGGATCAGGAGGACTGATGATATCCCACTCCCCTTCCAAAATACTGTCAAACCGCTCCTCCTCTGGCAAAAAAAACCAACCCCGAAATAGGAAAAAGAAATGAGATAAGAGCCTTACAGGAGTTTTGGAAGCTGCTGGCAGCTGCTCACAAGTGGCTGAGGAAGCTTGTTCAGCTGCTGTCCTCATGCTGGCTTGGCCCTGACTGACCCCACAGCACTCAGCTCCCCATCTGCACACTGACCCACTGAGCCCCTCTTGCTGCTTCGCTGGCTCTCACCACCTGTTTTCCCTCCTTAGTCCTTTTCCCTTCCCTTTAAACACTATTTTTTCCTCCTTGTTCTCAGGGAAAGATAATTTTGTCGTCTTAAAAATAATAAGGAAAAAAAAAAAGGAAAGAAAAAAAAGGCAGATTCCAGCACTTGGCAAGGGACTTTGGGTGGCGTTGGCATGGGGTGATGATCCTGGAGGTTGCTACTTGCCCTGTGAGCTGGGTGTGGGGAAGGGATCAGGTTTTGAGGTGCTGCAGTGCTCCCCAAAGCCTTGCCCCAGCCAGGCTGGTTCTGCCCCTTGGGACAGCTAGGCTATGGGGGAATCCAGTGGGATTTCTCCTGTTCTCAGTGGGATCTCCACAAGGTCCCAAGGGCAAAGCTTGGCTTTTCCAACCAGAAAAATAATCCTGTTGGTCTTTGGTCCAGGATTGTCCTCCTCCTCCTTCCTCCTCAGTATTTTCTCCTCCAGAAGGCATCAAGGGTCCCAGCCCCAGGGGCAGCCAGTGCCTGTCCTCACTCTTTTCTCCTTGCAGTCCCTTCGTGCCTGCAGACGAGCCCAGAGTGCTGCCAGATAGGACCTAGAGATGACCAAGGAAGAAGAGCTACCAGACTGGAACTCATCCAAGGAGTTTTATGAAAAATATGAACCGAAGGAGGTTTTGGGCAGGTAAAGCCTGTTCTTGGCAAACAGCTTGTTTTGGTTTCACGCATTCCAGTACCCGATAGGAACAGTGTTCCCTGGGAATCTGATACAAACAGGGCCCACAGCAGCATGGGGCTAAAAATAGCATGGAACAGCACTTTCCATCAGCTCAAAAACCTCCTGTCCCACCGAGACAGGGCGACAGAGCGAGACCCGCTCGTGCATGAAATACCGACCGGCCCAGGTGCCGCTGGCACGGCCGTGGGGTCGGGTTGGGTGGGCAGGAGTGGAACCCCCATCCTGTCTGTGTCGTCCCTGGCAGGGGGGTGAGCAGCGTCGTCCGTCGGTGCATCCACAAAACCACCAGGCAGGAATATGCCGTGAAGATCATCGACATCACGGCGGGAAACATCTCCCCCAAGGAGGTGCAGGAGCTGCGGGAAGCCACCACCAAGGAGATCGACATCCTCCGCAAAGTCTCAGGCCACCCCAACGTCAGTAAGTCAGGGCAAGGGGGTTTTCTGCCCTGTTTAAGTCTCCAGTGTGTCCCCCCAGGAATGGTTTCGGGGATGAAATCCCTGGAAGGTCAGAGCTCTGATGGTCGTAACACGACACAGGGCACCTGCTCAGAGTGTTGTTTGTTCTGCCTCGACACACACACCAGCAGTGCCCATGCTGTCTCCCAGCCAAAACACTAGTGCAGATCAACTCCTCATTAATTCTGTTAGCAATTAAATCAGCAATTTTAGCCTGTTAACAGACAGGAACATGCTATACACTGTGCTCACAGCCCCCCTGTTTTATTGCAGTCCAGCTGAAGGACAGCTATGAATCCAGCACCTTCTTCTTCTTGGTGTTTGACCTGTAAGTACCAGCTTGCCCAGCATCCCAGGCCCATTCCCTCTCTGCAGATTGGCCCCAGATTTTTATGGCCCAGACAGGGCAAAGTTGGGGCACAACCAGCTCTTAAGGTAGAATCAAGCCAGCTCATTGCAGCTTTGCTGCCAGCACTGTTTCCCCTCCGTCAGCAGCTCAGGTTTCCCTGTAACATTTGGTGGGAGCTGTCATGCACCCCTGTGGGTTATTTATATGCTCAGTGGGACCAGGGTGTCTGTGATGCCTCAGCTCTCGATGCCAGGGCAGTAGGATGGATGTCAGTGGAGGGGGATGGCACTGTGAGAGCCCCGTCCCTGTCCCATCTTTCATGGTTGGACTTGATGATCT